GTTAGGTTTCGTATGATTGTATATTGTGTGAAGTCATTTTCTTTGATTTTTCTGATCAATTTAACATTTCATTTATATAGTTTCTTTTATCTTTTCTGGCTTCTTTTTTTACTTCTGCGTTTTTTTGCCATATATTTCGTTTCAAGTGACCTCCCTTCTTCTGGTCCTTTCTTTTTTTAAATTTCTTCTTTGATTTTTTCCTTTCTTCTACCAGTTTTAGAGTATCTCTAGTTATCCATTTTTTATTTTCTCTTTTTTTCAATTTGATTGTTTCATTTGCTGTATTTATCATTACTTCTTTAACATGCTTCCATGTTTCTTCAGTTTGTTATCATACAGTTTGGTTAATTGCGGTCTGTCCCCACATCAGCACCTCTTAAGCTTTTGACATCTTGCAACCAACTTCTACATTTAGATTCAATTGTTATGTGATCTATTTGGTTCTTGTACCTCCCTTTTGGCGATTTTCACCTTTCCTTATATATCCGCTTATGTTTAAATATGCTTCCACCTATTATAAGATCATTTTATTCGCAAAATTCGATTAGTCGATTTCTATTGTCGTTCCTCTCTCTTATTTCCTCATTTCTTATCAGCTATTCAGCACTTTCTAATATCAATCATTCAATTGATATTTTGAAGGATAGAAAATCAGTTCTGCATATTCTCTGGTAGGAGATAATATATGTATTCGGTATTTTACGTAACTCCACTACAAAAAATAGTCAAAATATTGATAATAAATAAAACCTACACAGCGATTTGTTTTTTATCGATATTGCTGTGTGACATAACCTCTGTCACTCATTAATGCTAGCGACAAGTTGCACAAAACATTCATCTGTGCAAATAACTACTTTATCATTATCACACATTGATTAAGTGAAACATTAGTTTAATATTTAACGTATCCAGCATAGATGTTATTACAAAAGTGACTTGTAGAGATTAACAATGACTTTATTTTATTTTTGAATGTAGTTTTGAAAAAGAAGATCATCGTCATCATAAAGAGCATCATCTACCCTTCGTCTGTAATCCTAGATAAGAAGCCCTTACAGGGTGCTATCAACCGGGGCAGTTGAACCCTGTTTTTTTTAGAGCTGTTACTCCTCTGTCCCTCCTCTTTTTTCGGGCTTGGGACCGGCTGCATCGGCTATAGAGCTACTCAATTCACCTCATACCAATACAGGCAGAGTTTAATTTTAATTAATACCATTATTTAATCTAAATTGGTATAATATTAACATTTTAGGGTTTTTTTAATATGTGGGACAAATAATTCATAATAAATATTTATTTTTAATGAATGAATAAATGTTCTGAAGCTATTTTCTTGTGACATCTTAAGCAATTACTGTTTTAATGGGAATAAGCCACAATTGAAGTTTAAAATAAGTTTCAATTTCTACTTCGGAAATCGTTCTCAAAATACAATCATTAATTAATCAAACAAGTTTTGTTTTTTGTTACTTGGTGAACAATTCTTCTAATTTAATTATTATATTGGCAATATCATTTTAAAGTCGTTTACTTTTTTTTCTCTTTTTCTTGGCAATCGGGCTAAGTGCCCATCCAGTCAGCAACAAATGTGTAATAACGTTTTCTTAAATTCACCTATTCTAACTAAATTAAATACACTACAATTCTGGAAATTAAAAAAAGAACTACGATAGAAAAGTGACTCACAGACAGAAAGTGTAGACCACGGAAAGTATTGGTAAAAAGTTAAATTATTTGGCGATTAAAAGAAGTAACGAGCTTAATACCTACACTAAAGTTTTAAGTTATACATTTTGATAAACTTAAGAATAATTTTATATACCTTGTACATATTTAATCATATTAAATAAAGTAGATTGAAAGGGGGTATAATGTTTGCAATAATAAACTATTAATAAGTTCCTGTCTTTGTATTTCAAATTTACTACAAGCATAAAAAATGTGATCTAAGTCGCAAATCACATTGCAAGTTTCACAAAGTTAAGTGTTGACTACACCGATTTTATATAAGTGTTTAGAAAGCTTGCATGTCTGAATTTCAGCCTACAAATGGTTACAATATTATATATTGTAAAATCTTGTAAATTACGATACACACCGATTGGAATACTTGGATGTAATAGTGTGTATCGTGTGAGGTTATTAGAGCAATAGTTTTTCCAATGCAATTCCCATTTTCCCTTAAAATTACTCTTAGATATCATTAAATATTCTTGAACACCTAAATTCTTGTTGATATGCTCTCCAATTGTAACGCTTTCTTTGGTTAAGGAGTCTGCAACTTCATTGCCACGAAGTCCTATATGATCTTTGACCCAAGTGAATTTTATTTCGTATTGACTTTTTTTTTAATTTATGAATTCTTACTTTTAATTCTCTAATAAAAAGATTTGTATCAGTATCCATCACATTAATTTTGTTAACGATGCATTTAAGAACAGATAAGGAGTCACTCAAAAAATGTATTTTTATTAACATGTTTTTTTTTTCGACATAATCGCAGGCTTTAATAATACCAATCGCTTCTGCAGAAAAAATCGAAGTATTATTATTCAGTTTGAAATATATTTTTACTTATCAACAAATTTTCATTGTATACAGGAATATTAATTTCTAGTGGTTCCAACATGTCGAAGAATTTAGATTTTTCGACTGAAATAGTTCTTTTTAAATCACTATTATAACTACTTGTATTTCTAAAAGCCATACATAATGGAGGATAAGGTTTTTTTTTACCAATACGCGTTAGTTAAATCGTGGTTATTTAATAAGGCTATTTTATCTAACAGAGTACGGTTTTTAAAAAAAGACTTAATAATAAGTTTTTCCGCTAATCATTCCCTCCGTAAAAATAATGGTGGTTCTAGTGCTTCAATCCGAAGTGATTCCACAGGCGTTAAACACATTGCACCCAAACAGAATCTTAGGGACATATTTTGAATTATTTCCAGTCGTTTTAGAATGTAAGGACTGGCTGATAACGTACACCCGTAATCCAAGATAGAAGTAATAAAGGCTTTGTAAAAAGTTAAATACGTTTGTGGATCTGCTCCCCACCAGGTTCTCCTTATGGATTTATAAAAATGTATGCTTTTTAAACATTTTGATTCTATACTTTGTATAAATGGTTTCCAGCTGTTCTTGTCAAGTATAATTCCAAGATAAGTTACCTTATTTGATACTGGATATAAGGTACCATTTACATTTATGTTATCTATATTGGGTAGATTATATCTTGTAAAGATGGTAACACTAGATTTTTGAGGGATTAAAGAAAAACCTAACGATTCAAATTTCAAAGTAGTTAGTTGTGACGTGAGCTCAGTTATGCCTAATTCTATTTTTTTATTATTGTTATAAACGACAAAATCATCAGCATACTGTATAATATAATTATTTTTTTCTCGTATATTTCTTTTGTAAGAACATTAAATAAACGGGGAGAGATAACGGAGCCCTGTGGTAAACCTGTAGATGATCGTCTGGGACCTATTACAGAATTGTTATTTGACCTTACATAAACTGTTCTTTGTGTTAAAAGATTGCACAAGACATTCCACACACTCGCAGGGACATTTACCTGAAGCAATTTTTCTCTTAACTTAATGAAATTAACTGCATCGTAGGCACCTTTTATATCGAGAAATGCAGCACCTAAGTAATAGTTATTTGAACAACAACTGAATGTCTCTTGTTAAATAAGAAACTGCGCCAATAGTACTAAACCTTTTTTTAAAACTAAATTGTTCCAACAGAAAAAAGGCAGTGCTAGTCAAATGAAATTCTAACCGGTTTTTAATAATCCGTTCAAAAGTTTTCATAACACAGGACAACAAGGAAATAGGCCGATAAGATTCTGTAAGGTTGGGATTTTTGTGTGGTTTGGGGATTGGTACAACTAAAACATTGTTTCACTCCTCAATGACAGCGTTATATAACCAAATATCCTTAAAAATTTCTAAAAAAATAATTTACCGACAGTTGGTAAATTCCATAACATATCGTATGTAACTTAATCCATACCTGGTGCTCTGTTACTTGTACTTTTTAATGCAAATTGTAGTTCCGAAAATTTTAAAGGATAATTAAATATATCATTTTGAACATCTGTATTATCTATTAAATCCTTTACTTAACTTATCTGCTGAACATGGTGTGATATTTTGCAAAAAAGTTTCACTCTAGTTATAGTTATTACATTTAGGCTTAGGTGCGGGATTTCTTTGCATTTTTTTGCCTGTTGCCATATTTCCTTAGACGGAGTATGTTTGTTACGTTTAGCGCAGTATTTAACCCAGTAACTCTTAGCCTTAATTTTTAAAAATTGTTTTGATGTTGCCGTTTTTTCTTCAACCTGTATATAATTTTCTATATTACTATTGTTGATATAATTATTTAAAGTTTCTTGTCTATAACGAACGATTTTATCACGTTCACCATCTTACCAAGGAGGAGGTGACAGTTTAGCTCTTTTAAAAGGCTTATTGATTGAAATTGAACATGTAGCGGGATATTCAATGCCTTCCATGAAATATTTATATTTATCAGTCGTCTATTTTAAAATGTATAATATATGTCTGAATTGTTAATATAAATGAGTCAGATAAAATTAAATTATTTGAAGAATTCAGATTATGAGCAGTTGTTAAAGATTTTTATTATCGTAGGTCCTGTAAAGATGTACTTTGCAAGCGTGGTTAATTAATTTAATGCATACACTGCGAGAACCCCTAAAATTCGATCAATTATATAAATTGGTATAAAAAAACAGGAAACCGAGAATTTATTTACTCGTAGATGGTGTAGTGGAAACGTTAAAACTTTTATGCGTCTCCTTGCTATTGTGATACACACTATATAAAAGCTTTCTTAAAAAGTTCGCACATTTTATGGCGTAGTAAAGTAACTCGTAAATTGAATTACGAACACTTGAAGTAATTTATTGCACCGTTGACTCACCCTGTACATAAAACTTTTTCTGTCTTCCAGATATAGACTGTGACGCTAATCCGCATCGTCATGTCAGTTTGCCTCGAAAGTAGCCAGCCGAGAGACGGTTTGAAGCTACCGCTTAATCGGAGTTTTAGCGAGCCAGGATCTCAGACTTCGCCGTCTCATCTACCCTTGGGTTGCCCGAATCCGAAACGTTTCAAACTGGATACCTCCAGCGTGAGCCTACCTACGAGCCCATGTGCGGAGTCGGCGCATTTGCAGCGAACATGGGTCCTGAATAATGTTAAGTACATGGATGACGATGCTCTTAAGTCAAAAATGGAAGATCGTAGACCAGGACCTAAGAGTTATATATTGTTGGATTGCCGGCCCTTTATCAGCTACAATATGAACCATATTGCGGGAGCTATAAACGTCAACTGTTCCGATAGATTTAACAGGAGACGTCTTCAACAAGGCAAAGCAACTTTGGCCGATCTGGCCACGACTAGAGAAGGAAAAGAAGTACTGAAAAAGAGGTTGTTTAGAGAAGTGATTATTTACGATGATTCTACGAGTGATAAAGAGAGAATTACCGTTGGGCATCCGTTGTTGTTAGTGTTGACTTCTCTTGTGGACGACCATAAAGAGCCAGCCTTACTTATCGGTAAGTTTTTACACTTTATTATGTATATAATTACATATATTAATTTTGTGTGAAAATACATATACTATTTAGTCATTTCTATAAAACGTAAAGCATTAGTGATTTAAAATATCTGTAAATAACATTTTGCGTTGTTTTTAATAAAAATGGTGATGTAGTGAAACGCTAGAAACACCAATCGCAAATAACATTCTATATTGAATAGTTTTGAAAGTTTGTAAATAGACAAAAATAATTTAATGGAATATAAGTTGAAGCTATTATTGTATACGTTTGGATGGATGTCAAGGACTTTCTTATGAGCACTGAGTATTGGTAACCAGGAAATGCTGCTTTCTAAATTTTTTTGTAAGGTGTATATTCTTATTTACTTGTCTCAGAGCGCGAGTCTTTGCTTTTTATATATTGTTTTTAATTTTTATGTATGTGCTAGATGTATATGTACTTCATTATTTATTGTGTTGACTACATTGACTATATATAGGGTGACCATAATTTTTCAACAAAAAAAAAGTACATTTATAATTTTTAAGAAAATATGTACACTGCTAGTGCTCTAGGAAATTTTTCTGGTCAAAATTTTACGAATCTTTAATGAAACAATGATAAGAACGATTTTTTTAATCAAACTTAAGTACATAACAAATGTATGATATATTTTAATAGTTAATTTTCTTTCGACGTTCCTTTCTGAACATCTTGATCATCATTTTAGTACCAGTCGTACTTTTTGGAACTATGAATTTCCTTCAGAAGTTGTGGTCTACTCTTTAAGAACTGAAACATTTCATTACACGTAACTTTGAAGTTTGTCTAGACTTGCATGATGGCTTCCAAAGTAGATATTTTCAACTGCGATTTGTTGATCCAATAGTTATTGATATTTGAGAACAACCGCTCAATAGAGGTACTGGTCCCGGCAGACAAAAAACAAACTCACATAGAATTTTGAGATTTTTCAAAGCCCTTTCTTTTTGGAAGATTTCGAGCCATCGATCTTCGGTAAAAATATTTTTCGAATTTCAGTCTGTGATTTTATTTTCTGTAACGTAGGTTCGTATTAGACTAACTTCATCAAACAGTTCGTTCTGATTCAATATCGGACCTACTTAGTCTTTGAAAGCCACACACGACGATAAAATTTCAGCCCAAGAAACTTGTTTTTTCAAGTTAACTCATCCAAATAGCCTTAGTTTACTAAAATTTTCAATCCAGTTTTCCAAATATGTTACACAATTTGAATAGAACTGCTTGACATGCGTGATAAAGATATCCCGATAGTTCACACTAAGGTCAAGGTCTTCCATATTTTCAAGTTTTGAAAGGGACTCTCTTACTTTAAGCGGCAAAAATAACTTATTTCAGCGATTTTGAAGCTTATTTATAAGTTCGAAATACTCCAAAGCGGCTTCCGTTGCGCATATTTTGTCACCTTCTACATCTAAAATCACTTTGTGGAAGAGAGACGCAATGTTATGCACAAACCACATCCATGCTTCACTGATTGAAAAAACTGTTTTAGAACTGTTGGACAATTATCAATCGACAAAAAATATGCTTTCAAGGGTTCGAACATTTGTATAATTGGTTCAATGGCTGGCATTAGGCTCAAAAATCTTGTTTTTAAAAACAGACAACATTTTTTGTACTCGATATCAACAAAATCGCAAAACTGTTTTAATTTCTCCACTCTGACTGTAAAAATATAGAAATACTTAAAAATCTTGACCGCAATAACCTCGATGTTTATGGGTAAGACGACCGTCGCATTTTGTAAACAGTTATTAAAAATGTGTGCCACACAACCAATTCCAATCACGGGTTTACCACGAGAAGCATTTAATTTGTTGAATAGATTATTCACTCCTTTTTTTTCTCATTCCACCAAAATTTGTATTTATAGTATTAGCAGACATTCCGATGAATTTTTGTAGTAAATTATGGTGGTTCAAAACATTGACCACGTAATCTTTTAACTGCTCTGATGTTTCACCAGGTAAGTCACGTAGCTCAAGTAATTTTACTTGGACACCATTGTCTCCATCAAAATGTCTTACTATTAAGGGTACAACTTTAATTTCTCTATGATTCGACGAATCGATTGTAATGCTGACGAAATTTGCTTTCCGAAGTCTTGGTTCGAGCTGCCGCAAATTTAGGTTCAAACATGCTTACAATTAGTTTTGACGTGCAGTCTAAGAATCTGAAACTTTGCAAATGCTTAATTTTATGGTAAGCAAAAGTACCTTCCTTGGCAGCAATCAACATATTTTCAGAACTTAAATTTTCTTTTTTAACAAAGGTTTGCAATTTGCTGCTCTCCGAGGTCGCATTAGTAGCCAACATGTATTTTTTCTTTGACAAATGTTGTTTGATATTACTGCGACCACTGTTAGAAATATCAACATCACTTTTACAAACTTGGCAAAACACAATATGCGTTGAAACATTTGATTTTTGTTTCATAAAAGGATACTCTGCTTGCAACTCGACGTTAAAATGGCATTTTTTCTAGGCGGTGACATGATGAAATTGTTTATTTTTCCACACAACACAAAATAATATAAAAAACGATGAAAAGTGTCGGTAAAAAGTAATCAATAGTGAGCGCTTCAATTCGAATCATAATTATATTTTGTTTGGACAAAAAGTAGGACTTAATTTTGTGTAATTAAGAAAAAGAGTACATTTAGGTGTACTTCATAAATTTTAAAGTACAATAGGACAGCGTTTGAAAAGAAAGTACTGTCCTACTAAAAAAAGTACATATGGTCACCCTAACTATATATGTATGTATTACTGTGTCGATATATATCTGTTATATATACAGGATGTTGCGTTGCGAAAGTAACATACGTTAACTGTAAAAAGGGGATACTTAGGCGATCTCAAAAACCCCATACGTAATGGGTTTTACTTCATCACTAACAAAGATACTGGGTGTTTTATCTATTTTGCCATCCTCTTATTTAATTTACAATTTTTGACCACACAACTTTTTTATAGTACCTATGTTCTTTCAAATGACGCTAATTAGATCACTTAATTTTTATTAACAAAGCTGATGCGAATTCAAAAAAAAAGTACTAACTTCGTCCTAACTTGTCCTGAGACAACTTTTTATTTTTTAAAATTATTTAAAAAATGCAAGCTTTCCAAATGTGAAAAAACAATTTTCGTCTAGGCAACAGTTAAAAAGTTATTCTTAATGTGTATAAGCACAAAATCGATAAGTTTTTGCAAAATGATTTTGCAATATCTAAATCGCTTTTCTTCATATTTTTTAATAATATTTATATAATAAATTTTCTTCTTTCATAAGATATCCGTAGAATTATTGTAACTTAATCATTTTCTGACAAATATTGTTGGAAAAACATGTAATTTGGTATAAACAAATTAAATAACTTTTAAACTACACTGAACGGCAAAAAAGTGGCCACTCTATAAATTTCCAAAAATAAAAATTTATACACTGTTTAATATTGCGTTTCAATTTAAATATTTATTGCGATCATGTATGTTTTGTTCTTGACAGAGTTGACGTTTATGTCGCTGTCTATCTTCTAAGTCCTTCTTCTTCTTCTTCTTCTTCTTCTTCTTCTTTTTATATAGACATGACTCTCTCTGTTTTTCAATGTGCCTCCAGTAGACTACATTATAATGCGCTCCCTAACTTTCGCGTGATTGGTTGGTGGGTGGGTCCCAATTTAAAAATTGGCGCGTTTCATGTTTATTAAAATGACAATAAAATTGACGTACCTATTGTGGCACAGTATATCGCTAAACAATTTATTAGCAATATATTGTGGTATTTGTACAAAGCGGATGATATTCACATTTTAGGATTAAGCTGACTAGTACAGTTTTATTAGAAATTAAAATTTATTTTTCTTTTGACATTATGTAGGTAAAATTAAATTCAGACATTGTGTTTATTTAATTTTGATATGCTAGTGATGCTTTTTTTATTAGATATGTAGATATTGTTTTAATTTTTTTGTTTAGGTAATTTTTTATTAAGATTATTTTATTAAGATTATTAAGATTCCTCGTATTATTTTTATTTCTAGAACATCCATTACCATTATTATTCTCATTACCTTTCTCTATGTGGAATTGGCTTCTCTAAATATTTTCCTCTAAACTTTTCTGTTCTCTTCCAGGGACTAAGTACCTCTCCGCTTTTTGTATGAGATTATGGTTTTTCAGAAACATGTAATTTCTGTTCATCCCCTTTTTTACTGCCCTACATTCAGTACCATACATCATAGCTGGTCTAAAGGCAGTCCTATACAATTTACCTTTTAGTTTTCTTGGTACCTTTTTTATCATACATCACTCAATTTGCCTCTTTCCTTTACCTTTAATTGAAATATTAGAGATAAAACGGTAATACCAATCCTAAAAGCCGAACATTATCATCTTTTATGAGTTCTTGTCTATCCAAGCCAACTACTCTATCTGGTCTTGAAATTTCATCTTTAAAAGAATATTCTAAATATTTTGTTTGTATCCAACTTAATTTTAATCATTTTTCTTCAAGGACCTGTCTCCGCCACTCTTTTCTACTAATACCCAGGAGGTTCAGTTGTTATCTAATCCAGCACAAATGAGAATAAATATGGGCGAAACCCTGATTTTCACCCATTTTTACACAAAATTTGCCAGTTTCACCTGTAATCGTTCTAACACTATAATTGTTGTTTTAACACTATTATAGTTGTTACTTGCTCATACTCCACTCACATATTCAGCCGGCACTCCTTTCCTACTTAATCTATGCCACAGTAGGTTTCTGATATCTTCATCATGTGCTTTCTCAAGTTTAATAATACAATGTAAATTCACTCTAAATTGTTAAATTAGCTCTTTTAATAAAAATTGCTTGTTGTAGACCTTACACTGAATTCTGTTAGATTTTACCACAAATGTAGGATAATAAAAAGATATATTGTGAATTGAGTGCTATAAAAAATTGTCATTGTCAACAAAATGAA